CTGGCCCTGTGAGTGTGTGCGGTGCTGGGGATCGAACTCAGAGCCTCGCACATGGGGGTCAAACCCTACCACCGAGCTACCCAATCCCATCTGTTATTAATATCAAGGTAAGTTCGATATGTGGTTTAGCTTTTCATTGAGAGACGCAAAGTGATTGTTTACCGTGTTTCTGAAATAAGAATAGATGAGTTGTTTGCTCACGTACCCTGCTGTGTGCTGGTCACACATAGCCTGCGTGTCCTGACACATGCATTTGCCCATCTTGCACACATGCAGGCACACATACACTAGGAATAGGGCTCCGAAGCAATCAAAGCCATTTCACTGTGTATGGTTTATTTTCTGCTTTTAAGACCCATTAAGGACTTTCAATGAGTGACTTTCATAATGGCTCACACTTGGTAAAACCAGTTCAAGGACAGCTTTCATACCCAAGACTACGGTTATGCAAGAGCAGTACTGACCAAAATGTTGTGAGAAGCAAATCAACATTATTTTCAAAAGAAATTTCTAATAGGAACAAAATTTAGATAATTGCTTTTTAAAAAGTTAAATTAAAAATCTAATGAAATAATTTTGAAATAAAAAATTAGGAAAACAGAAATATTATTCATTAAAATTTGATCTGTTTCATGTTAGATTTTTTTTTGTTACTTTATCTCAACTTCTACATGTTGTGTGAGCTGGGAAACATTTTGTACTCAGATATTCTCTTCTTCCTCTCACAAAAATGCTAAAATTACCATTCTAAAAATACTCTGATGCTCCAGAAAAACATAGGAAAAATAATATAACGGTATAATTTTAAAAATGTCTTACTTTGCCCTTTGTTTTCATTAGTTCAAAATTTCCACCCCCCCACACACATGACCTGCCAAAAACACAGTGGTAGTTCAAGTTTCACAGTATAGGTGGCAAATCCAGTTTACATGGTGAATTGAAATAAACACTATGGTTATTTAACTATGGCTTTTATGCATAGCATAAAGTGATATTGGCCCACTCCTTTTTGTTTTGTTTTGTTTTGTTTTTATGACCAGTAAAATCTAACTGTGGACTCACCAAAAAAAAAAAGAATATTGCTTTGAATATGGGCTCCTCCTCTGCTGATTTTATTTAATACTGGTAAGGCTGTATCTTGTTCTGCCCCAGGAAAACAAGAGCACCACATACGTGGCCCAAAGTGGTCATCCTAAAGAGAGAACTCAATAATTCATGAGTAGCTGACGGCCTACCAACCCCATTTGGGCAACTGGAATAAAGGAAGTCTTTCCACTGACCTATACAGACTTGTGGAGCACGGTCAACAGAGAAAACCCTCCCCCAGACATATAAGTGCATATCTAAGGCCTCAATTTTGAAGTCTACAATCATCCAGTTACGCAACATTAAATTTAAATGTTATTCAGATTTCACCATTGCTCGGAGAACAAGTAAAGGTCAAGAATCTGTAGAAATGCCATGTAGTTCTCCGACTTCACAATACTGACTTAATGCCAGAATTTAAAATTAAAAATGAAGGTAATAGTAAGTCAGGAAAGCTAAAATCTCAGTAAAATTCCTGTGGGCTACTCAAAAAGAGTCTGTCCTTAGTGACCCAAGAATTTCAAGCTGTCTAAATCTTGTGAGATTTGGAAGGAAGCTGTGGAGAAAGGCAGGTCACCCCCACATAGTTTTTCTTTACTCTGGCCCAGATGTAGGAGTAATGACAGGAGCAGGCTACCTATGCTGGGAAGCCTTCTAGTTCCTCAGGGAAGCCTGGATCTGTTGCTCACTGGGAAAGAAAGGGGACTAGTAAGTCAAATCCTCCTCAGTCAAGGGACTATCCCCAAAGTACCAGGCATGGAGTGTTTCTATGGAGCAGGCCCTCAGTTCCAGGCATCGTTCACATGCCTTTCACATCACTGTCCCCAAACCACTGAGAAGAGGGACTGGGCATCAATGTTCAGCCTAAGTAAACACTTGGCCCTTGCTCTCAGGTGCCGAATGACATTGCAATTGAAGTCTTGTGCTCTGGCTCTAAAAGTCCTGCTAATAGGCACCGTGCTGCATCCCTGAGCTCTTCCATTTGCTTTTCTGGAGCTCACACGGAGGATACAGCACTCCATAGTGCAGACTGAGCTGCTGGCTAAAGACTTCCTTTCCACTCTTGTTTCTCCTCTCTTACCCTTCTTTCCGTCTAAAAATTTGTAAGAATTTTTAATTTCTTTAGGCAAGGAAAATGAGATTAAGAGTCTAGATTGGAGCAAAGAAAGTGAGGAAGTGTGAACGACAATTCATCTCCACGTGGAGGGAAAGAATACATCAGGTCATCTCAAGAGCAAGGCTTGGGCGAACATGGGAGACCTCTGCAAACGGAGGCAGATGCTTTTATAATTCTTAATGACAAGCTGTATGGGGAGACATTGTTTGGGCTAAATATATTTGTGTGATTGATTAGTTTTATTGCAATACAGTCTGCTTCATGCTCTTTACCAGAGGACTGGAAAATATTTGTCTTTGTTAAGGATTGGCTTCTGATTTGCCGAGTTTTTCTTTCAGTAGATTCATGGATTACACTGAGAAGGCTCCCCATTTCCTGTGCCACTGCCCTCTGTGGATCCCACTAGAAACTTCTTTATACATTGTTAGGATTTCCCATTATCTCCTTGGACATTAAATCTTTTCTCCACGTCTTTTTGCTGCCTATTCTTACACAGCAGAGCACAATGATCTCAGTATAAGAATGTGGAGATTCCAAGGTTATTCTAGCAATGAGTCAAGTCCACCGTTCCACATTAGCTTCTGTGTAGAATGCAAACATCGTCACATTTGCAAAGCTTTTCCCACCCTGTTAACACACCGAGCGCCCTACCGGTAAAGCTCCAGAAGAGGAAAAATGTACCCTGTTTTTGAACCAGTGGTAGATGGTCATTTTATCTGCATTCACAATTTTCCCTCTTGCTTAAATTATTCCAGTTCTTCTAGTAGACTCACCAGGAGAAAAGCCAAGGACTTAAACGCAAAGAAAAAAAAAAAACTAGTGCTTTCAAATAATAACATCAAGTTGATTGCCTTTAAATATCTCGCTTAACAGTTCCCATTATCCAATCCAGCATCGGGACTGTGACAGGAGACAGTGCCAGATTCCGTACTGCTTTGACGAGCTTTCATTCAATGGGAAAGTTATAAACAGGGGACGAATACACCAGTTCAGCCTGAGAAATTTAAGCAGGATGACAATTATGACATCAATCTGATACCCAAGCCTTGGATAAGAAGGCACCCAATATTCATCAGTGAAAAATCCTATTTGATTTTTCAAGATTGGCTTTGATTTTTCAAAGATGATGGATTCACTAAGGACCAGAAGTAACTAGATTTTGAGAGAAAAGTCTTCAATATCTACTTAACATTGAAATCATGGTTTATGGAAAAAAAACTCTGAAGAGGTAATTCAGTCCTGAGATCTCAGATATAATTTCCTTTATTAGACCTAGATAATGAGAATTAGATTTTTAAGATAGAAAGCTGTTGGTTTAAATGGGACGTGCATCTGCTATATTGATATTTTTCATTAATGATACAGTATATTGAATTTTATTCTTGTAATCCTATAGGTATATTTTAAAAACATAGTCATGTGCAGATATTCACGGATTGTATTTGCAAGAAAATGGGAAAAACGTTAAGATACCATTTCATCCACCATGGTCTGCAATAATGATTTTGGTTCAATTTTGTCCCCCTATCTTGTGCCAAGAAAGGCTGATTTATAAAGCATATTCCCCAATCCAGAACCAGATAATACTGGAGATAATTACTACGCCTGGTTAGAGTTTAGGAGCAATTTCCTGAGCCACCACTTGTAAAAGCGAAAGAACATACATTGGCACAAGGGCTGATCAGCTAAGTACTAAAAGAAAAATAAGGAATTATTGGTTAGAGCTCACTTTCCAGCATCAGGTTAAATAATACAATATACCTGATGGTCTCATAGAAACTTTCACTGTGTGACTTCACTACTGTATGGATACACAAACTAAGCATTTTAGGCATATAGAAAAATTAAATCAATAATGTTCCAATTTCACATAATGTATTGACATGGTAATTGCTTTATCATTTATAAAAAGGAGTAATTAACATCTAAAGAAGAATTTGATTTTCTTTTGGAAACCAACTTTTTATTTTAAATAAGAAAAATCATTTCCTTTAATAACAAACATCTTATTAGATTTGTAACATTAAAACAACACTTAAAATGGCATGAATATGATTTTATCTTTGAAAGCGATCCATTAAATTTTAAAGGAGATTTAATTATGAAGATTTAACATATAATTCAACCAAAAAAGATGCTGTTTTATCTAAGATAGAGCAGTTATGGGTATATTTAATATTGTTTTAGCAAACTACTGTTAACTAGTGTTCAGTTTTTTAGGTTTGATAAATTCATTCCTGTTTTTTAAATCATATTTTATTCTTATGGATGTTGGCAAAATCAAATGAGGGAATGAATAATCCCTGGCAAATTAATACAAAAATGAATTAACTAATTCAGGCCATTGCCTAGTTTAAAAAATTAATTCTTTATTCATTTAGCTTTATTTTGCTGTGTAAGTTTTCAGTTTCAGTTATTTGATATAGTAATGCATAGAGAAATTGGAAAAATTTTAAATAAATCTAGATGTTAAAACAAAAGACCATTTAGTATGAAGATACTGTTACAATATGGTAAAAGTTTTTCTCTTTTTCTAGCTTAAAGAAATAAAAAGACAGGGCCAGGGATTTAGCTCAGTGGTTCCGGCACCTGCCTTGCAAGTGCAAGGGCAGGAGTTTGATCCCCAGTAACAAAAAAAAACAAAAAACAAGAAAAACAAAAATGATGAATCGTGTAGAATGAGAACTATATCTCAATAAAGCTGTTGTTAAAAAAAAGAAAGAAATAAAAAGACAGACAGCTATTTCTTATCTAAATCTTTATTAGAAGAAAAAAACAAATGTATCTAAAACAATGAGTAACAACAAATTTCATTAAGTATGAAACATCTTAGTAATCAAAGGTAGACAACATGTTCCTAATATTCTGCATAGCAGAAGCACACTGATTATAGGGCTCATACTGTCATGCCCTTGTGAGTTTATTTTTGGCCTAGGAGCATCTAAAATCACATTTAAACAAATGTGATGATAGATAAACTGATGTCATTTATTGTTGATCGATTTTCAAATCTTTCACCATCATTGTGGTTGACATATCCCTAGGGTGAATGCTTTTATGGACTCTGTACCATTGAGAAACAAATTAAATTCATTTTCTTTAAAGTTAGTAGTACTAGTAAAGTTATTTAAAATGAGCAAGTGTTCCTGTTTATATTGGTGCAATAAAAAAATCAACATGTTATAAACAAGCTGCTTTGTATCAAAAGTTAGAAAATGAGAGACATATATAGAACAGCCTTTGATGAAAACAATCATATATAATGGAGCTATTTAGTACATAACATCTGTGAGCTACAGTTTCTCTTTATAATTCCTAGAAGTTTCTTTTTCAAGTATGTGTAAAACACTGAGAGATGCAGTTTTATACCTATTGTGATTTTTAAAGACCGACTATAGAAAAGACATTTAAAATCTTCTCTTTTAATAAAGATAAAGAAACCCAACAAGTGTCCTCTCTTTCAAGTTTTTTTCCCCCTTGCAGGTACCAACACATGCACGAATGTCCTCTAGGTGCAAGGGAAACTTCTTGATGCCACACAGGGTACTCTCTGATGGTGAAATGACCACTGGTTTCCAATCCGTGAGCAAGAGGAAAACAAATGCAAGACTTGTTTTAATCCCTAAACATTGTAGGTTTTAATTTTCTTTTTAAACAATGTTTGTAAACTTGCCCACAAAAGCTAGGTAATATTAAGCAGCCGGTAAGGCACTTTGTCAGAGGACGAAGTAGTAAAGGCTGGATGATTGGCGATTTGTCTGAGAGGAAACCATACATACCAAGAGACAGCAAGGACGGGGGTGAGGCAATCCTATTACTGGTTTACTGTCAAGCAAGAGTGGGGAAAGCTTTAAAATTTAATAACATTTAGCAATGTTCCCTGCAGAAGAAGTCAGTTAGCTATAATCTTAAAAATATATTAGGAGCTATCGATTTACGTAACACGTAATTTCAATTTCAATTTAATATTTAAAAGAATATCAACATACTCACTAGTATGTTCAAAGCATCCAAGCCACTATAGTTAAAAATGAATTACAAAACGAAAGATATTAGTATAAAAATGTTTCGTGTTATTAACAATTCCATTGCAACTTCCAATGGCTTCACATTTTACAGTGTAAGCTTTGGTATAAAACATGCAAATGCCAGCCAACAAGGTCGTGAGTACAGCGTCGCTAAACACCGAGCGCTTACGAAAGAAGTGCTGTACAGACAGCAGAGGAAAAGGTAACACACCGCTGTGAGGTGACATACGCTCCTGTACTGGTCCTTAGTTCATGAATCCTTGTCCAACAAAATCTTCATCAGAGACGAACTCACGAAAAATGGTCTTGCCGCAGAACCTTCGTTGCGTTCTAAATCGTCCACTAGGAGGAAGAATGGCACACAATGACTAACAAAGCCAAACCGTGCGAGGGGTAACGTCGCCATCTGCTGGATACTCGCTTTACAGCAATTCGAGACCACATTTCTAAAAACAGCGTAGTTTGGCGTCAATATTTTTGTAAACATAGGTATGAGAAAACGATCAGCCCTTGTTATTATGTCAAAGAAATATTATCTCATTCTGTATTGGGGCACAGATGCTGCCAACACTGCATGCAGTGCAGGTGCATGATTAAGGAATAACGTTTATTTACATCCCCCCCCCATTTACTTTCTAAATCACCGCACTATACTTGTCCAAAATTGCTTTTGTTTTGCCACCAACAACTTTGATGGTCCAGCCTTGAATAACAATATTTGTAAAACGTTAATATACAGCATTTCAAATCTTTCAACTGCAAGTGTTGAGAAATATTGCTCTGTTTTCCACAGATAGCAGTTTAATTGCTTTGTAAGAAAATGGCTTCTAAATTTCTTCTCAAATCATTGTTTGTTTTTGACCTATGCATTTCAGCTATACAAAGACAAATAGCATTTTTCTACCTGGGAATATGTCCACACAACAGTTAAACAGGCAGCTGGTTGCTTACATATTGACTTAGATTTTATTCAAGTGATTTTTCCAACTTCCACATGTGCCAGAACCAGCTAGAGAAGTACTGATTTACACAGTGCCCACCTGCAAACACAGTGGGCCTGGGTGTCTGCATGTATAACAAGTTCACTGGTAGAAGTTGCCGTTCTACTAGGTTTTTGTTCTGGCCCTTATATTACTGAGTAATAAGAAAAAAATCTGGAAAGAAAAGTGATCACTCCTCCCTGTATTATCCTTCAAGGCTAATGAGACTGAAGAAGGCTGTTAAAGCCAAGTGACACTTTTACCACAATAATCTTAAAGTGAGTCAAAAATGAGTTGGTGGGCATACTTTGAAAATTTTCCCAATTTATTGGCTTCTTGCTATTAAGCTGCCATATAATCCATCTAAGTTCCTATACTTCAGGATAATTAAATATAATATTTATAGCACAATATTTCTGATTGTCTTGTATGATGTATGTATCATATTTTGATCAACGTGTTGGATCAACCTGTTCCTCTCTGTCACACACAAGATTAGTGGAAAAGCCAGAGGCATGGCAATTGATTCAATGCTCTTCTGGGGTACAGTATTTTTACACTGCCACCATAGCCTATGCATTTGCACACAGGATGAATAGACAAGGCATATGAGCATTTGATTCATGCTTTGCTGGCCATGCAAGAATTAGGCATGTCTTGCCAGAGGCTAGCAGCAGGGGAGTGTGGCAATAGCGTTCCTCTTAAGCGCTGGAGAGAGAGCTTTCCTAACCTCAGGTATGCCCCTGGTAAAGGTACCAGAGGAGACACCCAACAGAGGTCAACCGTATACTCCCTTAGCATAAAAATCTGAAATTTCTTTATTTTTTCTCTTTCCTCACTGAAAGTTGAGCTAAAATCAAACCTTTTGTAGGAAAAGGCCACACGATCTCTTTAATCTAGAAATACAGGTACGCTCATGAAAAGAAAAATCACTCTTTTGAAACAAACCCACACTGATCTTCTCTATGGTGGGAATGGGACATCTGTGTTAGAGACCAACGGTGTGAGCCGTGTGGCATTCTTTTCTTTTGTTCAGGATATTTCCATGGTGGCCAGAAGCTTATATTACTCAAATTCAGTTTCAACATAAATATAAATTCACTAAAAGAGAATGAACTGTGAAGGTCCCACAGTAACTTTTTCCCAGTACTGTTCTCTGTAGAACCTCCCTGGTATTAATATCTAGACGTTTGTTATGGACTTGACTCATGTACTAAAATATATTTCCTAAGGAACTATTAATACACATTTAATCACAGTTTGGAGAGTTGCCCACCAGCTTGAACAGTATAAATATAACCATAGCACCATATTTACAAATGTAGTACCTTATGCTGGTTAACTATAAATCAATATTTTTATGGCTAGTTGATTACACATTTATAGTGCTTTCAAAAGTTGCCTGAATATCTTTTACAAATATACACTTATAAAAAGAAAGGCTATCAAAGTGCCGCTGTGGAAACAACACGCTGAGTTACAAAATTTATTAAAACACTTTCAGCTATAAGTTGTTTTTTTTTGCAGGGGGTACTGGGGATCAAACTCGGGTCCTTGTGCTTGTGAGGCAGGTGGCAGAACCACGGAGCTAAATCCCCAGCCCTTTAGCGATAAGTTTTTTTAAAATGTTTGACATTAACACGTGACTCTTCCGCCAGGGACACTATCTATGAAGTGGGCCACTTCATGGAGGCCTGCTGCCATCAAATGCCTGACACCCCTGATGGTACAAATACTGGCTTGTTTTAGAAGTAGCTCAGACATTTCTTTCACATTATCCATGGCAACATTTGCAAATGACCGTAATTCGCAAAGCATCAGCTTAAAAGTGGATGGCACTGTTTGGAGCTTGTCTACTCTTTCTCCTTCTGGGGAACTGGTTGCTTCTTGACCAGAATCTCGTGCAGGCTAGGGGTTATGAAGTAGGGTTTTTCTGCAGATCCATCATTCCTTTCCAGATCTTCACCTGTATTTGCAGCAGCCAGAACAGGGCAAAAGCAGCAAGCAGCAGCAGAATGATTATATGCATTTTTATAAATCGGAGAGTAATTGGATGGGGGAAAAATCAGAGAAACCAGTGTTAGAAAGTCAAATAGAAGACAAATTAGTGCAGTTAAGTTGCTGACGCTGGACAAGGCAAAAGGCCCCAACCTCTGCTATAAATCGCTGGCCCTTTCCCCTGGTCCCTTCTGTTCCCAAAGAGGTTAATTTTGATGGTTTACTTAGCAAAGTTTTCTATATCCTTCAAAAGTGTTCTTCTTAAATCCTGTGACCATGCTTTTCCAAACTGTCTAAACTGCCACATCCTTGGGGATAAAGTCATAAAAGAATGATGACAGTTTCAAGTCACTTTTTTTCTTCTTCTTCTTTTTTTTTTCTTTTTTTTTGGTGCTGGGGTTCGAACTTGGGACCTTGCACTCGAGAGGCAGGCAGTGGTACCAATGAGCTAAATCACCGGCCCTCAAGTCACTTTTAATAGTAGTTCACACACTGATATTACAGATGAAGAAGCCAACCCAGGGAAATAAAAGGGCTCTGCTGGGGTCAAAGAGTCTGAGGCAATGAGGAGGAAGACAGAATCCAGACTCTAGACATCTAGAAGTGCCTTACCCTAAATCTTTGTGGTCTGCCTCAAATTATAAGTCAAAGTTAACACTAGTGTTTCCTGACTGCCGGAGCATGTGAATTCACCTTCTCGTTTTGATTGCTTAAGGTAACAGGAATTTGAAAGCATGTTCATTGGTCCACCTGCTAGATGGTGGGGAAAGCAGCAGAGTCATGCCAAAAAGAAAGGAGATGTTTGCATGGGATTAAGTTTTTTGCAAATATATATAATTCATTGCAGAGAGTAATGCAGATATTATTTTGGGAATAACAGGATGATTAGTTTAGGAGATTTTTTAAATTAGACCTCACACATGCCTGAGACCTTCCTTGCATACAAAATGAAAAGCTAAGGAACACAACAGACACCGAATATTTTTGTTCTTTTTTATCCTTAGTCTTGTTTCTGTACAGTATCACATATATGCCTATATCATTACTACCATGGAGGAATTGGTAGGAAGTCTAGTCTCGATCACATCAATAATCATCTATAGCTATTATTCTTTCCAGCAGGATTCTCGATGCCTTCAGATGTTAAAAAATTTTATGTTTCTACAAATAAAATGTTTACAAATGGTTGGCATTTAAAAAGCACACATTCTCTGGCAGCCAGGATAATAAGTATAAGAAGATATCAAAAAGAATGAAAAGTATAGTTCTATACAATCAGAATTTGCCTTGGGGTATCATTAAGAAGAATGTTTTCCAAAGTATGATGTTACCCATTGTAACAGCTGGGGAGGGAGGAGAAATACCATATGGCTTCCCTTGTTCTTTATTATCATAAACTATTCATGTCAACACACAACATAGTGAATAAATTTGATAGTATATCTGACTTTCAAGAAGTTAGAAATTTATTAACAAATATGGGTGGGAAACTTCTTATTGTTCATATTTAAATCTGCCGCCATACTTAAAATTGACACTATTGTTTTGGTTTTTTTTTTTTTTTTTTTTTTTTTTTTTTGG